AAGTGATGAATAATCATCAGAGGTTTGTTGCTTTAAGAGACAAAGAGATTGGATAATTTTTGATGAGTACGATTCCATGCATAGTTAGATATCACTAGATGGTGCTCTTGAGAGCTTTGAGAGAGCTCCGTATAACCCTCACCCTTACCTTGTCCTGGATTTATATAAAGCTTCTTCATATGTCTGAGTCCAGATGAGCTGATCACCCCAACCTAGAACAAAAGGACCAGCATATTTAAAGCTATTATAATTTCAGGCTCAAAGCTGTTGAAAAGCAATGGTAAGACTGGGATAAATATGTACTCGATACGAAAGAAGAAAAACCTCTAGAGAAAATGGAAATAATTATAAATGATGGTAAATATGGAAGAAGCACATAGCAAAATATGTTCAGCACACAGTTTCAGCACCAAGAGTTAGAAAATCTTTCCCAATTAACTAGCAGTCGGAAGCCAACAGCAAGCTGACTCCTACCTCTGGAGAGGGTCTGAGGAAGTTTGGGTAGAGAGTCCTTTGTGTCCTTTTTAGCTCCAGGTTTGACTGTGGTTTCTTTGGCCAGAGTGTAGGAGAGGGCTACAAGGAGCAAGAATGTTGATACTGAAATTTTCTCCATGGCAAATCTGATACAGAAAACAGAAAGTCAATAAAACAAAAAGGAATTAGCTGTCTTCAAGATCTGCGGTTTTTATCATAACAGTGCAATATAACAGTGGAACTGAGATTGAAGTGAAAATGAAAAGCTCCTTTCCATGGAATCTTCCTAAGAATATATAGCATGGATATCTATCTATTATCTATATATCATCAATAGATATAGATCCACATAGATATAAAGATGAACATCTCTATAGATATAGAGCTATCTAAATAGTTATACGTCTATATAGAAATAGATACATTTTAATAGCTAGATACATTTTTATAGCTAAGAAAATTTACACTTAATTTGTATGTTTCAAAAATATAGTAACAGAAAGCACCGATGTATATACTCTTATAGCTAAGAAAATTTACACTTAATTTGTATGTTTCAAAAATATAGTAACAGAAAGCACCTTAGGGGTTACTCCTCTTTCCCTACCTCCCCAAAGCCTCATTGTATAGATAAAGGATCTGAGGTTCAGAGAGATGAAGATTTATGAGATGGGTCCAGAACAAAGGCTTCTGGATCTTGCTATTTTGCAATGCTGGCTCCCGTCTTCCCTCCCTGCACCAATTATTCTAAACATCCACACTTCTTTAACCTTCAGCTGAAATGAGGACACTGCCATTGAAGAATGAGGTATGAATAAGATGATTATTTCATTTAGAACCTGCCAACTTTGTCACTTAACTGAAGACTTTCACCCACACAACTCTCTCCCTAGGGTATCATTTACCAACTCTGTATTAGCTCTGAATTGACTAATACACATCAATGACAAGTTCCTTCCAGTGACACAATTCTTTGACTCTCTGTGTGGGCCTGTGCAGGTGGGTGGTTGTAGTCATGCACTTTAGTGCACAAAAATATCAGTGAGATTTATAACACAAAAATAAAACCCATGGGGGGGGGCTCTTTGTTAATTTTTTTTTCTGGTGTTCTGCAGTTCACTTTTAGAAAAAGATGAAGCAGATGCTCATGAAAGGAAAGTGAAAAGCTCTTAGTTCCATGAGTGAGAAGGAGGGAGTGAGCTCACACACAAAGTGAGTCACCCCAGCAAGTCCCTAAGGTTACCCAGGGGCCATAAGAAATCTGGAGACCTGGGATTCTGGTAAAGCCAAACACTAACATTGCATAAAAAGAAATATGAAACTACAGCATCTAACTCTAATATTGGTAGAGGGTTTGAATTAAGGCAAACAAACTCTACAAAGGAGGTAGGATAGACTACCATTGCTCAGTGTTTTTACGAGGGAAGTTTCTCATGATCTGATAGCTTGAGTGGGAAGCTTTACTAAACACTAGCTGATTTTTTAAAAAGGCGTTGCTATGTTACCAAATCTAAATAATGTCTTGAATTAAATTATTATCCAAGTCATAGTATGTAGCCACAAAATGACTTACTCAGAAAAGACATAGGTAAAAAGTAGCAATATGCTTTCTTCATTGCCTATGCTTATGAAGATGTGGAAATGCCAATAACAATTTTTGTCTTCTAGAGTTCTGCAAAAACAATTCAAGTGTACTATAGGACAGCAATACCCAGCCCTCTCGGTATGAAGACTTCTTTTTAATGTTTAAAAAAATTCAGGAACTTTTATGTGAGAATAATTTTACTTTTGGAATATTAGTTGGTTCAGAAATATATCATAATGACTTTGAATTTATCAATATTTGATTTTGTATTTTATTATAACAGCATCTATGTTTGAAAAAATATTGTACTTTTCATATTTGAAAAATGAATAGTAAGTTGGTGGTAAAGCACTTTATTTAGTCTATTGATAATTCTTGTTGTCCCAAGTCTGTTAGTACTGCTCGCAATAGCTCCACAGATTATTGCTATATTACATGTGTTTTATGGCGGGGTGACTCAAGGAAGGCTAATGTTAACTCCTGCTGTGCAAACATCCTGCTCTGGGCTGACTTTCTGAGATTCGCTCTACTGAGTTTTCATAATACAAATAAATTTTGTTCTGCAAATTTCCTTCATAAACCAGAATTCTAACCATGGAAGATATTGATAATTCGGAGACACACAGACACACACAGTCAGTGAAATCAGCACTTTTTACTGGTTACTATATCCCTGTCTTCTTCTCTTTAGCAAGAAATGAACTTGCAGGAGATTTCGGTGTCCCTGTTCGTAAATATTTCAGGAAAACAACCAGCTCTCTCCTCTGACAGCCTATCCCATGAATTTAAAGACTGAAGAAGCAACAAGAATATCTTTACACCAGACAGGCAAAGAAAACTGTTTCCTGATTTGCGGTAACATATCCCAAGCAGGCAATCTGAGCTGAGGTTCACAGCTGAAGAGCCTGCAGAACTTTGCATTAACCAGTGGGAGAGACGCAGAGCATTAGCTAGTGACTGAGACAGAAATCCCTGGGTCCTGTCCCAGCCTTGAAAACTCCTAGAGTTCACCCATCCTTAAACTCCTTGTTTCCTTGGAGAAACATGGAGAGAGCATCACTTTGAACCTGCTCAGGAACGTAACCCTGGGCCAGCTCTAGCTAAAGAAAGACCCCTGTAAACCTTTGGTAGGAATTCCATACTCTCTCCAGATCCCACTTCACTGCCCTTGAAACTTTGCACTCCTCTGTTGAATATCTGCAACTATACAAAGCAATCAGAGGCCAAAGCTCAGTCTAGTAAGCTCACTCCTCCAAAGCTGTTGTCAGGAGCCTTACCTGGATTTCCCCACCCACCTGTCTTGTGTGAGCCGGCTGGCCAGGATGCAATCCAAGTTTCAGTGTGTGCTGGTGCGGCGGGAGTCTCTATTTATGCACCAGAGCTCACCTCAACCCCACCCTCTAGTCCAGTATTTACACGTTGCTCACTTGGAAATAAACCTTCCTTTCCCCAAGCAATTGTCTTCCCTGGGTTAAAAAGTTCCTTGTTTTTAAAAATAATGTTGTAAAGGGTATGCTTTTCAGTATGCATGCTTGTAACTGTTTGTGAAAGTGTATTGTTAAGAGGCTGGGGGGGGGTGGTGGAAATGGGCAGAGTGCCAAATCCAGGTAAGCTTTAAATGAAGACATTTGATTTGCCTGAAGGCTGATTCGTCTTTACGTGATTGGATGGAGTTCGTGGTTTGTAGATTTTTTTTTTTCCTCCCTCTTAAACAAATTGCCTTTATTTAGTTGAAAACACACGAGACATGATTCACAATTCTAACCTTTACGGTCATATCACCTGCCATATACCATTATGGTACAAATTATTTTCCACAATACATTTCCTCTTTCTTGGCATTAAAAAAAAAGTTACAGGTGTGAAAAAAATACAAATCAAGTACCCGTATAATATTTTAAAAATGAAGAGGTTATTGAAAGAAGACAGCCTAACACTATGAGCTTATCATAATTACCTTGCCATTGAATATATGCGGCAACTTCCCACCCAAGAGTTCAAAAGTTTTTCACAGATATTCTCTTATTTAACAGCACACTTTCCTGCTAAGCATGCAGGAAGCCATCTACCCCATTTTTCAGACCTAGAAAATAAGGTCTGCAACTATTTTTTTTTTTTTTTGTTACTCAGGATTGTTCAATTACTATATTCACAAAGAATTTTAAGACTGGAACTCAAATTTTCTGTCAGAAAATTTTAATCTTGTGTTTTGTTCATGAAGCTATGTGCAGTCCTTAAAAGCTGACAATGGAGAAATCTTTAACAACAAGGAAATTAACTAACGGGATGCCAGCCCTATAAAAATCACATTTTAAAATATTAAAATGAGTTAAGCTCATTATTTTTCAAAACATTTTCAAATATAGTATGTATTTTTTTTTTTCAATAAAGCCTTGAATTCTTTGGGAAAAATAGTGCTGCTAAAATATTAAATTTTCTTTCAAATCTAAATGAGCTCACAGAGATAATTTCTTGACGAGTTGACTGAAAACAATGATTTGAGCTAAAGTCTTACAACTAGAACGGCTTGGTCTATTTTGCCCCAAGAATATTCAGTGCAACCTCCTCATTTTGCAGATGGAAAAAATGAAGATGTCAAAAGTCAGTGATATCCTGGAGGTCCCATAACTAGCTTAGGGCCGAGCTGGGACCAAAGCTCAGGTGTTCTCTAGTTCATCATCTGCTGAAAGCTCAAAGTGAATGTGATTTGGATCCACAAGATTCCAATCTGTGTCCTGCTCCCTGATGCATGTTCACTCTGAAACTTCGGTTTTCCTGTCTATAAAATGGGGATACTATTATCATACATGACTTTTGAATACTAAATGAGCTAAGGAATGAGAAAATACTTGGCATATTAGTCTGCTAGGGCTGTCATAAAATATCACAGACTGGGGTACTTAAACAACAGAAACATATTTTCTCCCAATTCTGGAGGCCAGAAGTGTAAGACTTGTCGGAAGGGTTAATTTCTTCTGCCGCCTCTCTCCTTGACATGCAGATGGCCATCTTCCGCCTGTGTCATCACATGATCTTCTCTTTACCTGTCTGTGTCATAATTTCCTTTTTTTTTATAAGGCCACCAGCCATATTGTATTAGGGCCCAGCCTAATGACCTATTTTAACTCAGTTTCCTCTGTGAAGACTCTCTATAGTACACATTCACAGTCATTGATATGTTACATTTAACGTCATTAAGTTAGATGTGTTTCCTGTGGGACAGTGTAGAGCAGAAGGCTCAGCATCAAGCTTTGGTAATAATCATCCATTTAGGAGGGTGAAGAAAGAGGTACTTGCAAAGCACAAAAAGTAAAATGAAAGTATGAGCACATTTAGGACTGTGCTATGGCCCTGAATCCAAGTTTAGTAGAAACTGCAAATCACAAGGCAAAAGCCAGTGTTGAATGGTTGCCTTAAGTCAGAATTCACAAAGGGGACTGGCCAGTTAGTTCAGTCAGTTAGAGTGTGGTGCTGATAAGACCAAGGTCCAGGGCTTGAACCCTGTACCTGCCAGCCCCTACCCCACCGAAAATCACAGATGGTACTTGGGTTGAAATAATG